AAAAATAATAACAAAAAATTGAATAATCACGTCAAAAGCTCAATTAGTAAAAATGATAATTTTTTGAAAGCGAATGTGACATATTTAATTATCAAATGACATTTAAATTAAAGTTATTTTTATTCAAAATTAATTATATATTTTTTATTTGTCTGAAAGAAGAATTTTAAGTATATATGTAAAATCTTATCTAAATTTATATTTGTAGTTATGTTTGTCAATAAAATATTTAAATATTAAAATTTGATATAATAAATGAAATAAAATCAGATGAAAAATTGTTACAGTTCTAGAAATTTTAATAATAACTAAACGAATCATTCGTTTCTAGATAATGAAATCTTGATATCTTATGGGTATATATACCAAAACAAAGAAGAAAGAAAATCAAAATTATTGGAAATTTTTTTTTTGATGTGACGTGTCATGTAATGAAGAATGATAATAAAAAAAGATGAATAAATAATTCTTTTCCTGTGTCAAAACTATAGACCAACCGGGTCGCAATTTTACTGACTTCATAAGAAACAAATTTAGCATAGTCAATAAAATAATTGTGTTTTAAATACATTGGTATGTATATGATTTTTTATATTAAGAGTGATAAAATTTATTTAATCAATTTTATGCTGTAAAAAAGAGCGAGTTATTCACATTTAATTAAAAAATTATTGATATAGTAATGTTTTATTTTTTATTTTATAAATAAAAATATATTTAGTATCTTTTAATTTTCAAATATTTAATACTTTATATTTAATGATTAAAATAATGGTTATAAATATTCTGTAAAGATTCAAAAATATTTTCTTTTAAAAAAGTGTATTGATAATTTTTTTTACTAAACTACATGTATTTATTTTAAAAAATAATACGATTTAAATTTAAAAAATTACAACATAATTTAAACCTAAATTTGGCAATGCAAAGTATAAATGGGCAAAAAGTATGATTGGGGAGGCATATGACGTTGAAATGCACTTCACGTGCTCTTTCCGCCAAAGTCCAACCTGGTTCACGTGATGATCACGTGCATCTCTCTTCCTTCAGGTGTGTTTTTTTTGGCAGGATCGAGGATGCACCAGAATCCGACACGTGGACTTCTAACGGAAACGTTGAAGGCGTGTGATGTGCGAAAACGTGTTTGTTTCGAACCCCGAAAACGCGTGTCCACGACCCCCCATGTCTTCCCCAGCGTTGCATATACGTTGATTGATGTTTTAGACATTAAAAAAGTTCAAATCTTTATTAAAATTTTTATGATAATTTTTAATATAATTTTAATTCTTTTTATAATTTTTTAAAATATTAATTAGAAAAGGTTTATTTATTAAAAACTTTACTTTGTTCAATTCAAATCTTATTCGCTAGAGCGGCAATAAAACATGCGTTGTATTGCCATTCCCCGTGGAACATTCTACTTTCTTATTGATGGTAACAAATTTAAAAATAAGAATTTTTTTATTAAAATTATAATGTATAACAATATGAATGTATTCAATTTTCTGTTTTTTAACAAAGAAATTATATATAAATTTTTATTATATAATTTTAGACATACTTAAAAAAATATATGCTTAATTTACCTTATTTTAAAGAATTCTTCAAATCGTCGATGCCTTTTACTTTTTTCATTATTTTTTGGTTTTTAGAAATTAGATTTTCTATAGTGAAAAAAATATAAACTACACCCCATACAGTTACAAATCCAACAAAGGGTCAATTTTGAAAACAAAGTTTCATGCTTTATTTAAAATACTTTTTTAAGGGTTTAGATTTATTAAATTAAAAACATAGTGTAGTTTACTTTTTCCTTTCTCCCTATTATAATCCATCGTGAAACAATCCAGATAAATCAGAGTTGGATAATTAACTTTAATTAAGAGTTCTAAAACAACTTTTTTTGGCTTCCACTAACTCTTGACACTGTTGTTGATTGTATAGTAACGCAACTTTTTAAGATACAAATCTGGTGCCATGTTATGAGCAATCTATGTATCACTGTGTGTTAGAATCACTTTTTATATTGTTTGCTTCCACTCCAATTTGTTCCACCATAATGTTGCACTAAGGCTCTGAGGGAGAGAAGTACTTTATCTTTAGCAAATTAATTAAGGCTGAAACCTCAAACAAATCAAAATATGTTTGGTTCCTAGGAATCTTTTTTGTTAACTTTGAACGCCATGATTCCACAAATTAATGATTAAGCGAATTTGATTGTGCTTTCTTCCCCTTTAACTTTCTTGCTGATTAGATAACCTTTGTCGTTGCACCGTACGATAGTAACAAAGCATGTGAAATAAACAGAGGGATGCTCAAAGGATAATGATCCCTTCCACTCAAATTAATTCCAAATACGTTCACGAGTTCTATGGAGAATGTGAATTGGATTCAGTTCATGCGACCAAATGTCAGAAGATATTTACAAAATAAATAAAAATATTGTTGGTTTTAAGTTAAGTATTTTGCAATTTTAAATTAATTGTTTATGCATTTTAATTTTACATGTTTGTGTTAATGAATAGAAAACATTAATTAAAAATCATGATAACATTCCATTGGAAATTACAAGAAAGTGAGTTGGTAACACTTTGTTTAATGGGAAAAATTGTGTTTTTAAAATCAATAATTAAAGATAATTAATGTTGATGTTTAGCAAAAACAAAAAGTATTAATAATTTACCAATACATTAATGAAGTACTGCTCCTATTTTTTTATATTTCTGTTTTTATTAAATAATTTATGTTTATCCACTCATTTTTAACAAATATATTGTCTTTAAAGAACGTGTTGATAAACGGAAATGAATGAAATGATTAATTATTAATATTTGAATCTATTAATTATGAGCAACGTGGTATCTTTTCCACGATACTAGTTAACAATTACTTTAATATTTTATTCGTTTAAAAAATACTTTCACTATATATTCGTTTGAAAATTTAAGATAATACTATATTTTTACCGCTATTATCTTTTAATATATTTTTACCTTTATTCAAATATTTTACATACTTTTCAGAACTAAATAATAATAATATCATATTAGAAAGTTAAAATCAACGTCAATATAAACGATGATATTAATTATATTTTTAATTCCTGTATTATTCTTTTAATAGATAAATAAAAAATAAAAAATATATTAACTATGTTTAATACCTTTGAAATATAAAATTCAATGTATTTTTATTACCAAGTAAGAGGATTAGAAAAAGAAACATGTATGATGATTTATACTTATTTTTTAAAAATTAACTTTGCATGTCAAACTATTGGTGAAGACAAATCTACTTGCAGATCTTGTAGGGGCGTCAAGTCATTTTCCCTGAACAGCAGACAATTTCATAAATTCATTTTTTAAAAAATGGAAATAAAATATAAAAAAGACAAGGAAAATTACGGAAATCGTGTATACAGTTTATTGAAAATTATAAAAATATAAAAGAAAATCTTAATTGAAGATTAAAAAAATTGAGAATCATATTTTTTTTTATAATTTTATTAGTTAATAATTAAGAATGCTTTGATAGGTTGTTGTCTAAAAATTGCAGTCATAGATAGATATGTTTTGATTTAGCAAAACGAAATGTTATTGCTTTAACATGCAGACACGAATTTGGGTGATTTAGAGGTTAAAAACTGTTGAGTCACATGTGAGTTATTGCGTGTCACTATTTAGCACGAGTATCATTAATTTTATATAATTATCCCTTAAACTTGAAGGTTAGCTTGTCTTTATCGTTTATCCATCTACTTATACACTAAGAAATATAAACACCACTTCTTTCCTTCTGCTTCTTTATTTGCACATGCCCATTTAAATATCTTTCCAAATTAAATCTTTGACTTTAAAACTATTTTCTCTTTGCTTTTTTTTTTTTTTATAAAATTACTCAAAAGCATTTCATTAATCATAATCATAAAAATAAGTTTATTAATCTTAACTTTTAATGTTACTTTTAAATGATTAATAATAGTAGTGATAAATTTTTATTGTATCGGATTTCTAAATTATTTTTTTTAAGAGTTTATTATAGTTCTTTTCATAAGATTTCTTATATGTTGTTTTTGGTGTTAATTTTTTTTTTTATAATTATTTGATCAGAGATAGAGTAATTAATTATATAAATAACTGGTATTACTAATTTTAAGAGTAATTTAAAAATATACATCATTATTGATAAATTTAATATCGTTAATGAAGTTAATCATATTTTTAAATTGCTGTAAAATAGTTAACATAATTTTATATTTGAGACAAAATATTATATTATTAAAAAAATATCATGTTCAAAATACAATAAATGTTTTATTTTAATAGATTCTCACTATTGTTAAATTGAATAAAATAATTACACAAAACATAAATGTATTTTTAAATACGTCGATTGTTAAAATTTTTATATCTTTAGTTTACTATAAATTTTACGATAAAGAAACAGTTATTATTATAAACATTTTTAGAATAAATATAAAATTATACTATTTAGATATTTTTTTTTGCTATTACTATTTAGTTATTTTCGTAATTTAAGAAAGACTGAATTTAATAAAACAATTATAAAAACATAAATATATTAAGATATGATTGGTTTTTAATTTTCTAAGATCTTTATTTTATTATAAATTTTATGTTCACAAAACAATTATTCATTTCTCCACTCATTTAATATTATACATAATTTTAAAATAAAATATAATTTATATTATGTAAGTATTATCGTTAATATGATGAATGAATGAATTATTTTTTATAAAAAATAAAAGTAGTAATTAGTAGTTTTTTTAAATTATTATTTTAATGTTTTGGAGGGCTGCAGCAGGAGACTAGTAGATGGGTCATGGATAGGAGCAAACAACCAAAAGCACTACCTCTCAACTTCCAACCAAGTAACCCTGGTTAACTTTTAACCACAGTTAGTTAAAACCATAGTTGGTTCTTTTGCACTTTGCAGTTACAACTTAGAAACAAAGAAAGAAGTTCGGAGTTAGAGAACGTAAGCGGCATTGTTCATTGTTCACACACTTGTCTTTCTTTCTCAAGTTTTTAAGTCCCAACCCTTTTTCGTTCATTCGCTGTTTCCTATATTGGCGCGAGGAAGAAGGAAAACCTTTTTTTTCTTCCTTCGTTTATTATTTTGTGAAATACAAACATGTTTCTCCTCGGAGACACCCTTTTCATTACTTGAACACTCAGTTAGCTCATAATGTTCGTTTCGCCATTGTTGTAGCTTCAGTCACGGTCTGTTGTATACCCTTTTGGTCCCTTTTAGATTTTGTTGATTTTCCGGTTGCAATTCGTGAGATCTGCGGTTGGCGGTGTTGTGTGGGGGCTTCATTTGAGGTTTCTGGATTTGGGTTTTGAAAAAGTTGAGATTTTTTTTACTTCTGGGTTTTGGAGATGAAGGTTGAGGTGGGGTTGGGAGGGTTGTGGAATGAAGATGAGAAAGCGATGGTGGTGGAGGTTCTCGGAAGTAGTGCTTTTGATTACTTGGTTGTGAATTCGGTTTCGAATGAGAATTTGTTAATGGCGTTTGGGAGTGGCGAGAATCTGCAAAACAAGCTTTCGGATCTTGTGGAACGCCCCAACGTGTCTAACTTCAGTTGGAACTATGCGATCTTTTGGCAAATTTCGCAGTCCAAGTATGGTGAATGGGTTTTGGGTTGGGGAGATGGGTGTTGTAGGGAGCCAAGGGAGGGAGAAGAAGGTGGAGGAGTGAGAGGGGTGTTGAACCTTTGTGTTGAGGATGAGAATCAGCAGAGGATGAGGAAGAGGGTGTTGCAGAAGCTGCACACAACGTTTGGGGGTTCTGATGAGGACAATTATGCTTTTGGGTTGGACCGTGTTACGGATACTGAGATGTTCTTTCTTGCTTCCATGTACTTCTCTTTTCCTAGTGGACATGGTGGTCCAGGTAAGTGTTTTGCTTCTGGGAAGCATTTGTGGCTCTCTGATGTCTTGAAATCTACTTCTGATTACTGTGTGCGGTCATTTTTGGCCAAATCTGCTGGAATTCAGACAATTGTTTTGGTCCCTACTGACTTGGGTGTGGTGGAGATGGGTTCTGTGAGAATGGTGGGAGAGAGCTTTGAGTTGTTGCAGGTTGTGAAATCTGTGTTTTCTGCACAGTCATCATTCTCCGCAGTTAAGCCCATTGCACCATTGGATGTGGTGAATGAAAAGAGAGATGAGAATGGTCTTCTTTCTGGTTTGGCAATTGGTGACAATAATAGTAATAGTGAGAGTCATAACGGTAATAGAGTAGAGGGAATTGGAGTTCATAAGATTTTTGGGCAGGATTTGAATTGTATGAATCAATTCAGGGAGAAACTTGCTGTTAGGAAAATGGAGGATAGGTCATGGGGAGGTCATACCAATGGGAATAGTATTAGCTTTCCAAATGGTATACATGGTTCTAGTTTGGGAGGAGGTCGAGTTGCGAGGCAGCCTGGTCCTATTGAAATTTTTACTCCTAGGTCCTCTACAAGCAATGTGCCGGAGCTAGCTAATGGCGGGAGGGTGGGTTTCATGCATGACAAGTATCAGCAGCAACGGCAGGTGCAAATGCAAATTGATTTCTCGGGAGCCATGTCAAGGCCTTCCGTGGGATCGGTCATTGCTGAATCTGAGCTTTCTGATGTTGAGGCCTCGTGCAAGGAGGAGAAACCAAGTGTCGCCGATGACCGGAGGCCAAGGAAGCGGGGAAGAAAGCCGGCTAATGGAAGGGAAGAACCTCTTAATCATGTTGAGGCAGAGAGGCAAAGGCGTGAGAAGCTGAACCAGCGTTTCTATGCTTTACGAGCTGTTGTGCCAAATATCTCTAAGATGGACAAGGCATCACTGTTGGGAGATGCAATTGCTTACATCAATGAGCTTCAAGCAAAGCTCAAGACCATGGAGTCCGAGAGAGAGCAATTTGGAAGCACCTCTAGGGATGGATCAGTATTGGAGGCCAATTCAAGAGCAGAAAATCATCATAATAGAGCTCCTGATGTGGATATTCAAGCTGCACAAGATGGAGTCATTGTAAATGTGAGCTGCCCCATCGATGTTCACCCGGTTTCAAAAGTCATTCAGACATTGAAAGAGGCAGAAATTGGTGTTGTTGAGTCAAAACTCACTGCTGCAAACGATACTGTCTTGCACAACTTCGTCATTAAAACGCAAGGACATGAGTATCTGACAAAGGAGAAGTTGGTCGCTTTAATTTCCAGAGAATCGAACTCCTTACAGCCATTATGATCTGGTGCATAGCATAGCCATGGAAATCACAATTAACAGTTCATAGCCACGATACATAGGGAACAACCTAATATCTACATCATCCTCAAAAGTTTTGTTATACAAAAGAGGATCTAAAAGAAAAGCAGCTGGAATTAGAGAAGTAGAATAATAGCTCCTATTAACCGTGTAGGGCAGCCAATTTATGTTTGTTTATAGTATACACAGTTTATCATAAGTATTATTCCTGCAAAGTCAATTGTTTTGTTTAGCTTAACCAATCTACATAGCTTCATAATCTTTTTTGTTTCTTCCTTTATTCTACTTAGTTATGTGCATAACAGCAAAATGTTAGTTTGTCTACTGCTTTTGTCAATGTCTTGTTTCTAGGGATAAAGATGTCCTCTCCTTTTTTTTAGAATATTATATATTATAGTGTAATTTCAGATTTGTAATCCTTTCTTATATAGGATACTTCGTGTCTTCATTCCTAGCTCAATAATATCTTTTATTTCCTACTAGGAATGCATGTTTCTTGTAAAAGTGTATCAGCTTGTCTAATGAGGAGTTTCCTCTAACAGAAAGGTGACATTCTTATTTTAAATATGTATTTACACACACATACATTGGCAATTTATAGATCTCGGGCACTATTTTTTTCTTTCAGCTTGCGTAAGGGAACGGTTTTTGTTGCATTTCTTGGTTTTGCTTTTCCAGAAGTTAGAAAATGGATAGAAAAAAAGGGCCAGCAAACTTTTGCGTAGTAGATATGGTTTTGTATATGGATTCTGAGGTACTACTTGCACATGAAAAGGGTGAAAAGTGGGTACTGCCCTCAAATTGTAGTCAGTTCCTTTGTTATTTCCTCCTTTCCATAACGAGTTTGAGTTTGAGGTATCTCATGCAAAAAAGAACCTGGGATTGAAAAGTAAACAAAACTGAAAAAGGAGGCTAAACAATACACACGGTCGTAGGCAACAAACATAATAAAATGAAAACTAAAGTCTCATTGCGCAACATTAAATAAATACAAGTACCATTGTGCAAAGTTTACATAAATCATTAAATCAATATATGTATATAATTTTCCGTGGTCCTGCATTGTGTAAGCATCGTGTGACTCGTGTCCCATTTTGATATTTTTTATTATTGTTGAATTGTAAAACGTTCACGTGCTGGGTTATTTTGATCCAATGAGGTTTGCGATGACAAGGATCATGTGGTGCATGTGTTTGCTTATGGAAGAGAATGAAAGTTAGGACTTTGAAAAAAAGAAAAGAAAAGAAAGTGTGTGTATGACTAAAGTTATATGTGACATAAGCTGTCGTTGATGTTAAGAGAAACCCCAACAAGGTCGTGTCAATTTAACATGAAATTCTTGCCACTGATTCCTTGCCTATAGCTACAGTTGAATGATATAGATCGCCCACCAATATTTGTATTTCTTTCTTTTACTGTTTTTTCATTTTTTAGGTCAATATCCATTATTACTAGGTAGAACTTGAACTTGGTGTAATAGTAGCGTCATAGTCTCAAACTGAATACGACTTCTGAAATTCTAAAGCAATAATCATTGTGAAATTATTAGTGCGCGCGCAACATTAAAATTCTAATAATAATAATTTTTCATTAATGTTGTCACAAATGAACTTGAATCCGGAAAGTTTTTTTTTGGATAATTATCTCCAACTTCGGGATGAGGAATTTCTAAAGATAGATGTTCGGAATTAGGAGAGAAAGAAAGAAAAAAATAAACAAAAACTAAAGAAATAAACAAAATGGAAACGACTGTCATGAGAAATTAGTCTGCATTTGGTTTACTGTTAAAAGACATAAGTTATATGAGATAAGTTTTTATTTAAATTATGATTTAAGATTTTTTCCTACGAAAATTTAAACATGCAAATTTTCCTATGATTTGTCGTTGCAAATTTTAGAGGGTGTAATTGTTTCAGCTTTATCTTCGGAAAAACCAAAAAGTAATTATAATATTTTTTGGGGGCATTATAGGGTACAAGCCCTAAAAGGGAAATTGAATTCCATTATAATTGGTCCCAGGAACAAGGGCACGCCCCAAACGTGCTTATCATGTGTGCAAGAACATTGTAAAAACAGACAAAATGGAGTCCATATTAGGTGACGAAAAGCACAACATAGAATGTCATGTTTTGGGTTTTCAGCTTTGGATGCCCAAAACCTTTATCCCCGATCTTTAAACTAGTCCTCAAAAAATTATACAAGATATATTTTAATTCTTAAGATTATAATAATTCGTTCATCTTAATTTCAATTTTTTTTATCATCATTAGCATAAAAAAATCAAAGTAAATATTAATTAATGAAAATTTAAAATCTCAGAAGACTAAAATACTTCTTAATTCATACAATATTAAAGATTAAGGGCTTACATTTTTGTTTCTTTTGCTGAAAATCTTCTATTGAAATCGTAACATCAAGAAGAGATGAAGGTACTTGCCCTTAGGAGGTAGTGAAGTCCATTACAAAGGTGAGATGTGGAGATTGGTTCCTCTTATCCAACACAAGGGTCAAGAATGATTGCTGCCATGTGGTGTGGTGGTCAAGCCACACATGGATATGTGTCTTTTTTTACTATTTTTCTTTTGTTGTTGATTGCAAAAGAAATGGCAAATTGTGGGATCCATGAACAATATCAATCGCCAATTTTCCAAATTTGTATGATTGAAGGAATGAACACTATTTACCCATTGATAGTGATAATTAAGCTTATTCATACATATCACCATTTACTCGTGTCTAGTTAATTAGTTTACACATTTTTCATCCGAAATTTTGACTTGTCTACAGTCCTAATAGCCACCAATTCATTTCTCTTATCCTTTCATTTTTTTTTGTACATATGAAAAAGTTATTTGTAGAAAAAAATCTCATTCACATAAGAGCATTTAATAACGTCCCACTAGACTAGCAACCGACAATTGACAAACTGCATTTTAATTTGGAGTTTTTAAGTTTAAAAATTTAAAAGTAAATATGATGTACAAGGAAAAAGACGATATTTGATTTAACACACATATATCACACACTCAACTCTATGGTTGAAATATATTGTAAGGATTCAAGTCAAACATCTGACAATTGCCTTTTATATATATATATATATATATATATATATTAGTTTATTTTATGGTATATGTTATTTCTGATATGTGCATTTTCTGTTGCTGTTTATAAATAATTTTAAATAATTCTATGTAAAAATTATATGTAAAGCCATTTTTCTGTGATTGTGTTAAAACTAAACTGAAGGCTTTTGTTGGTTCTGAGTCAATGCTAAGATCAAGGTTTTATTTGTTGCCATTCCTTATTTTGTTATATTTTTTTAATTTCAGTTAGAATATTAACAGAATGGATGAAGTGATATTTTCTTTAGGAAAATATTAAATTCAATTCTTAACACCGAATTTAAACAATTAATAATAATAATATTTTATTAAAAAATTAATTGTTTCTGTATCTTTAATATAGTAATTATTTTTTAAAATATAAGTCAATACTTTTAAATGCTTAAAATCAACTCAGATTAATAAAACTGTCGTTTTTTTTATTGTTGTCCCTACACATCACTGTTTCAAATCTAGTGGTGACCCTAGAAATTTTTGTTTTTTGTCCTTTTTCAGATGAACCTAAATGATAATATTAAGAGCTTCAAGAATAAGATGAAGCGGCTTAAAGATAACATTTCCTTAATTCTAAGTCACACATTCCTTAGATACTTAGCAAATCACCTCAGTGAAGCATTTACTATGAGTTACTCTCCCACGTTTTCTTTTTGCAGCTTATCTCATGTACTTTATAGTGAGTCTTGGACTGAAAGTATGAACATGAACACAATACAAGATTATAATTTAACATAAATTTAAAATCACAAGAGAACATGATATTTTTAAAATGGGCATAAGTTATTCTAAATATAATAAACTGCTAAATTCATTGAAACGTCTGCTACTCGTATATATTCTTTTGGTTGAAGGGCAATTCTTTGACTCAGACATTGAATTTGTCATTTGCAGCATTAGCAAAAGGGTGTCAAAGATTAGCAAATCAACATCGTTGTTCTTTCAAATCTTTGACACCCTTTTGCTAATCTGGCTTCAATCTTGCAGCATGCAATATCTCTTGTGTTACTGCATAATCTTTAAATTTTGCAAGTACAATAGTAGTAGTGAGAATCTTTAAACTTGATTATCAAATAGCATACTCTAATTTCTCTAATCTATTTACGAGCTTAGTAAGGAGGAGAGAAACTACACTTTGTAACTAGTGATTAAATAGTGTTTTCCTAGGATTCATTTTTGGCATTGTTTTCTAAATCCATTACCTTTCCTCAGTATTTGGGCTTGGTGGTTACGCTTGCAATTATCTGCAATGCAATACTTATGAAGATGTTAATGCACCCGAGTATGATGCAGAAGGTAAGATAATTGCAATGATGAGTTGCATGGGCTTGGTTGGATCTTCAATTAGAAGGACAATAATGGGTAATTTATTTTTATAGGCCTTGAAGATTTAAGGCAACTAGGCAAGTTATTTAGTTTGGAAGATTGTTGAAGCTCTTTGCTTATATTTATTAAAGCACTCATACTTGATATTTGTCTTGGTTTCAGGCTATGATCCACAAAGAAGGTGGTTTTTCCAAAGGTAAGATTATTCAATAGGGAGTTCCAGTAGAGTTTCTTGATTATGCAATGTACATGATCCATTTGGATTCCCAAAAATTTATGTTTCTCGCAAACAGATATATAAAACATGGAATGAGATAAAGCTACGTGCCCTCCCATGCATAAGTGATTGGGCCTTGTCAAAAGATGATGGGATGATCAAGAAAGGAGGCTTGCTCTATTTAGTTGGTCAGTGCCAAATTAAACTAGACCTTTTCAATGTACTCATTTACATGATTGTTTTTCCTTTCTTAGCCTGCTTTTGATGGCTACTTTTTCAAATTTTGTTTTATTAACTTTGAGGATTAGTTATTATACTGTTTATTTCAATAATCTCATAACATGATGGTTCATTGATCCAATTCATTCGTATATCCAATTACAATCAGTGTAATAATGATAAGCCATTATACTTAACACAAATGTATTTAGAAGTTCTGCAATATTGAAAAATGAAAATGCTTCATGCATTTCCCTAGCATGCTTGTCAATGGATAAGTAATCCAAATGTATTTGGCTCATCTAAAGTTGGAATTAAGTTTATTCTGTCTTCCCCAACATTCCCTTTTTTGATAACTTGAATTATACCATTTACTGTTTTTACTTGCCACAACAATCTCTGTCTATGGAACAGATTTAGAGGTGAAGTTTCCCCTCTATCTGGAGAATTCGATGTACCTCCCTTTTATATTCAAGCAAAGTATAAGGCAAAAAAGCTTTGTTGCAGATATACACAGAGTTGAGGTTATTGGATTGTATAAATGGAAATCTCACAAACCAAGCCTGAAAATTTCGTTGAAACAATAGGTTAGCAACTATCAACACTAAATTTGTGCATTGGTGATTAATCTTTTAAGCATAGATCAAGAGGGACATCTCCAAAGAAGGGTACATAAATAGACATGATAGCC